GCATGCAACATAGCCAGTAGTTGTAGGTTAGGTCTAGGTGGATACCAGTCCAACCAGTCTGGGTCTAGGGCCTGTACAACCAATATCAGAGTCTGCAGTGATGTTTCCCTCCGAAAAGGAGCAGGTACCGGTTGCTTGGAAGGCCGAGCGGCCTGGAAGTCACCGCCCGAAGAGGCAAGCAGGCTGCTATATCTCCCAGCTGGGCGAAGAGCCCAGCCTCTTTTTCGGTGTGCAAATTTGGCGACACACTTGTGGAGGACTGGCTGGAGCAGCGCTGCTGGGGAGGAAGGAGAAGGGCACGAGGGATGAAGAAGGAAGGAAGGAGGAGGAGCGCCAAGGGTACTTACCTGGCTATGGTGGCAGCCATCTTCATCACCTTGGTGGGCACTGCGGCAGGGAGTCCCCAACTGGGGAGAGCCACACCAAGAAGCTTCGAGGCAGGGTCAGGCATGGCGGCCTGAGCTAGAGCAGCTATAGCTGCTTTGGGTTGTCCTTTGGGCATCTGGGCAAGGCCTAGTAGTCCGCCATAGCCTCGGCCTATGAGAGTGAAGAGTGGGAGAGGCGGCCATCGCTACGATGGTGGACCTCAAGTGATACCTGCAGTAGAAGAGGAACTGGGACATTGATTCTGGATCAGCCATTCAACATTGTATTATTATTTCTTGTATGAATAAGAGAAGGGGGAGATAAGGAGGAGGAGATTGTTGGGCGAAGAAGTATTATTATTGTTTCTTGTATGAATAAGAGAAGGGGGAGATAAGGAGGAGGAGATTGTTGGGCGAAGAAGAAGAGCCTTGTCATTTGTCTATGCTAGTGTACATCATCTTCTTCTTCTTTCTTACTTCTTCTTCTTCTTCTAATCCTCTTTCTCCTCTCAAGTTCATTCATTTCTTTCTGCAATTGGACGACATTGTACTATTTGATGCATGTGTATCTCGAAATTGGCCAGTATCATAACAGACACCTCGTGCGCGAACACCTTTCAAGCTTTGAAAGAAGCCTTGGTAAGTTATGCAGTACTCCGCATTGCAGATCCCAAGCTGACATTCGCAGTTACTACGGATGCAAGTCAGTATGGAATCGGCGCAGTGCTGCAACAAGATGACAACGATGGTGTGGCCGCTCGAATTCTATAGCAAACGCATGCCCAGCGTAAAGGTAGTCCCTTCCACTTACATGTGCGAGCTCTATGCTCTCCGTATGGCTTTGGGCCATTGGAAGCAATATCTTTTGGGACGCCACTTCAAAGTGTTCTCGGATCATAAGACTCTGAAGTGGATTAAGGAGCAAACTACCCTGTCCCCTACGTTAATCGCTGGTTCCATGAAATTGACATCTTTGACTTTGAGTTGAGACACAAAAAGGGTTGTTATAATCGAGTTGGTGACGCATTGTCTCGCCACCCTGAGTACATGACTTGCCTTGTAAAATCCTACGACCTCCGAAAGAAACTGAAGGAGGAGCTCGTAGAGCATACAGCCAAGGATCCGGAACCTAGTCCCATCCTTGAACGGTTGCGGGCTGATCCTAGTAGTCAACCTGATTTTCACGAATATGGAGGACTGATTTTTCGTCGCTACGGAAACCATGATCGCTTGTGTGTGCCCAACCATGAGCTTCTCCGCACGCATTTTTTGGATTTGGCCCATGGCCGGAGCGGACACTTCGACATGGTAAAAACGTAAGCAAATCTGCTGAGACAGTTTGATTGGCCTGGCATGAAAGGGACTGCTGAAAAGTTTGTGGCTGAATGTCAAGTTTGTCAACGAATCAAACCATGCAGACAAAAGCCCATAGGGCTACTCACACCCCTTCTCATTCCCGAAGGTCCCAGGGAGTCCGTCTCCATCGACTTCACCGACTTGGGAAAGGTAAGTAAGAACGGCTACTCACAAGTCATGGTGATTGTTGAACGATTCTCCAAGTTCCTTCATTTGATTCCTTTGCCACGTCACGCTCCAACAGAACTAGTGATCCGTGAGTTCCAACAAAAGTACATTCTGCAGTTCGGAACCCCGAAGACTCTTGTGAGCGATCGGGATCCACGCTTCATTAGTACTGAATGGAAGGACTTCATGTCTCAACCAGGGATCAGACTGTGTATGATATCTGGCCGACACCCCGAAGCCAATGGTTTGGTTGAGAAGATCAACCAGACTGTGTTTCAACTTCTCCGCGCCTTGATTATTCCGGATCAGGAAACATGGGATGAAGAGTTGTATTCCGTTAAGGGGTTGTACAACAACTCCGTCCATTCCGCCACCGACATGACATCCAACAGGTTGCATTACGGTTGGCAGATCCGTAATCCGCTCTCCTACCTATTCCCTGAACATCCAGCCCGTTTAACACCCGGCAGGCCTGGCTTCAGGGCCAAGTATGATCGCTTGCGCAAAGTTGCCATTGCAACAATGACCAAGCGACAACACGCCATGATCCATCATGCAAACAAAAGGTGTCGACCGTCGGATATTCAGGTAGGAAGCTATGTCTGGGTCAAGATGGCTGAATTTTCAAAAGAAGAGGGAGTCTCTCGCAAACTTCTCCCACTCTCTTATGGTCGGTGGGGAGTTTTGGATGTGATAGGCGAAGATCACTTTGGCCCTTCGTACGTAGTTGATGTGCCAACCCATCTGCGCACATACCCCGTGTTCCATGCACATCAAAACTCTACCTCCACCGTGACGCTAAGACGTTCGATTATCGCGAAGACATGATCCCTCGTGCAATCAAAGGCGGGTATGAGATAGACAAAATTAAACAACACGTAGGGAAGGAACGCAATAGAGAGTACCAGGTTCACTTCATGTATCACCCGTTGGACGATCTTTCCAAGCAGGAACTGCTCCGCAGCACACCACACATTGTTAAAGTCTACAAGCGACAAATTGGAGTTGACGGTACTCCTAAGATCTCCGCAAGGCTTACTGCGACAGAGTATTCTAGGAACCTCTTTGCGTTGCTTGCTTACGATGCGTTTGTTGAGGACTCAGAATGAGTTACTCGCTCGAAGGGACGTCGCTCTTGAGGGGGGGGTAGTGTGATCACCCGTCCAAACATGGACTGAAACACACGACTGATTTATGAGTTTTGCCCATAGACTGAACGCCTTGCTGAGTTTCCCGCCTGCTACTAAGTCTGTGTGTGCACGCTTGCTGGACTGCATGTCTGTCTGAGTGCTAGTTAGCTTAAGTGTGTGTGTGGC